TGACTCTAATTGCCCTCTTTCACTTTCTCATCTTTTTTCTGTAATTCTTCTTATTTATGTATATATTTATTTAGCTGCACCAGGTCTTATTTGTGGCACGTGGGATCTTCATTGCACAGGCTTAGTTGCCCCACAGCCTGTGGGATCTTACTTCCCCAACCAGGGATCGAATCTGTGGCCCCTGCATTGAAAAGTGGATTCTTAGCCACTGGACCATGGAGGAAGTCCTTTTTCTTTAATTCTTCACAGAGGAGTCTAATCATACTCTTTCTGACTCCTTCCTATCACATAATCCTTAAATCTTACAGCCCAGCATCCACGTCATCACTCTACTGCACCTTCTTAGTCACTAATGATCTTATAGAATTTGAGTATCATAAAGTAGCTTCCACCCAATCAATAGGTCCAGGGGCTTTACAAAGGCCAGGGACCCAGTGCTCTCAGTACCATTTGACACTCTTGGTAATGCCTACTGAAACTCTTTTCCCTTGGATCCCATGTCAGCACACTATGCTAATTCTCCTCTTACCTATCTGGCAACAACTTCTATATCTTGCAATAGCCTCACTTCTGCCCACTCCAGAGTATGGGTGTTCCCTTAGGCTCAATCCTTGGCTCTTTAACTATATTCTTTCACTTCAAGCTTTCATCTTCTTCAGGGCTCTAATTATTACCTCAACTTAGAAGACTTCTGAAGCTTCCTCTCCAGTCTCAATCTTTCCCATGAGATGACATCCTGAATATATACATTTCTGCTGGACAGTTTCATTTACACATTACTAATACTTAAAACTTATTAAACATTTCATCATTTTAGAGCCAAGAGGTGACATGAGAGCCTGATTAGTCGATTCAGTTGTGTCCTAATCTTTGCGACCCCATGGACTGTAGCCCACCAGCTCCTCTGCCCTTGGGATTCTCCAGGCAAGAATACTGGAGTGGGTTCCCATTTCTTCCTCCAGAGGATCTTCACAACCCAGGGACCAACCTGTGTCTGCTGCATTGGCAGGCAGATTCTTTACCTCTGAGCCATCAGAGAAGCCCCAAGAGGGTACCATTTGTAATTAATTCAACTCCATTTTATAGATGAGGACACTTAGGTAGCTTGTGGAAGACAACACAATGTGTCTTACAGGACTCTTGTTTTCCGGTCTGATGCCTTTTCTAGTGTTGACCAATCAAATTAGCATTCTTCCTGTTCTGCCTTTTTACAGCCTCTTTTTCTTCTGTTAATGCTACCGTCATTTTTCTAGATGACTAAGTTTAAAATTTGGTGCTATTTAGTCATCAAATCCTTTTTATTCTATATTTGGGATGCCTCTTAAATCTTTCTTCCTGTCCATTCCATCACCACCTCTTTGCTTTCAACCTTTACTATAGCAATAGCTTCTCTTACTTCTAATCCCTTCTCACTTATAAACAGATTACTTTTCCAGAAACAATGCTTTGCATGTCATTTCCTATTCAATGGCTTTCTGATATTTTGAGAAAAAAGTCCAAAACATTTAGTCAAGGTCTCTGTTTCTCTCTCTGCTCCCATGCCTGATCCCTCTGTTCCAGGCTGTTTTGTTGTTGCTTGCTCCCAGAAACTGTAAGCCTTTTTGCCTCTAAACTCTTTGTTCATGCCACTCAGTTTGCCCAGCCTTTCCACCCTCTTTTAACTAAGTCCTCCCAATTGTTTGCCCTATTAAACACAATCTATATGCTTAGGCTTTGGCCCTTTACTCCATCAAATGAAAGAAGGTATATAAACTGCCTAGTACAAGGTTTGGTATCTAATACCCTGATATAAGGTTCTCAAAAATGCTACTTTTCCTCTTCCTTTCTTTCAAAATATTTTTCCGTGTTATCCCTTTTGATTCCCATGACAAATTTTGTATGATTGAAGGCACATATTAGTTCAATTTTACAGATGAGGGAACAGACTGAAAGTTTGAGTAAGTGGTCAGCAAAGCAAGATATATGCCTTGTGGGCCATACATCTTGCTGCAACTACCCAACTCTGTCATTGTAGCCCAAACAGTCATACCTAATATATAAACGAACGGCAGAACTGTGTTCCGATAAGTTTTTTTTTTAATTTGTTTATTTTTGGCTGTCTGAGTCTTCGTTGATGTGAGCAGGCTTTCTCTAGTTGAGGCAAGTAGGAGTTACTCTTCATTGCAGTACACAGCCTTCTCGTTGCAGTGGCTTCTCTTGTTGGGGAACACGGGCTCTAAGTGCTTAGGCTCAGTAGTTGTGGCGCATGGCCTTAGTTACTCCAAGGCATGTGGAATCTTCCCAGACCAGGGATTGAACCCATGTTCCCTACATTGGCAGGCAGATTCTTAACCAGCTGACCACCAGGAAAGTCCCAATAAAGTTTATTTACAAAAACAAGAATGGGGCTGGATTTGACCTGTAGGCAGTACTTTGCAGACTACTGATTTAAGTGACTTGGTCAAGGTCATATGCCTGATGAGTATCAGAATTTTGATAGAATCCAGATCACCTGACTTCCAATCCAGTATTTTTCTACTACATTATGCTGCTGGCTATATAATTTATTTTGCATTCATCATACACTACCTTGTCATACTGTTTATCTTTTTGGACACTATACTATGTTTTGGTAGTTCAAGAGGCAGTGGAGGAATTTCCCAGGTGGTATAGTGGGTAAGAATCTGCCTGCCAAAAAAAAAAAAATCTGCCTGCCAATGCAAGGGACAAGGGTTCGATCCCTGGTCAGGGAAGATTCCATATGCTGCAGAGCAATTGAGCCTGCCTGCCACAAATACTGAAGCCTGAACACTCTAGGGCCAGAAAGCGACAACTAATGAGCCCTTGTGCCACAACTACTAAAGCTCATGCTCCCAGAGCCTGTGCTCTGCATCAGGGGAGGCCACCGCAATGAGAAACCCAAGCACCACAATGGAGAGTAACCCCTGCTCACTCAACTAGAGAAAACCTACATGCAGGAACAAAGACAGCACAATCAAGTATGTGAAGGTGATGTGAAAGTCGCTCAGTTGTCTCCGACTCATGGAATTCTCTAGGCCAGAATACTGGAGTGGGTAGCCTTTCCCTTCTACAGGGGATCTTCCCAACCCAGGAAAGGAATCAAGGTCTCCTGGATGGCAGGTGGATTTTTTACCAACTGAGCTATCAGGGAAGCCAACCAAAAATAATAAGAAGTAAATAAATAAAAGGTAGTGTAATGACACAAAGTAGGCATTCCATAAAAGTTTGTTGATAAGCATAATCATGTCCCAGACTAACTCTATTTTGGTTACTTTGAACCTGGCTTACTTTAAGGCAGGCTTCAGTTTTTGTGTGAGTCCTGTTAGCATAACTGATGAGGATGCATCTGTCTGTGTGTATGTTCCTGTGTGTTTCAGGGGAGTTACCCAAAGAACGGTATTGCACAAGTACCTGGTTGACATGCTTTCTTCTTCTGAGCCTTTCCCTACTGTTTTCCAGTAGCCATTTCCAGTAGATCTGAACTTATGTGAATACCCATAAAACAAGATATATGTAGACATAACATATGAATAAAAGGAAAGCTGGTTCTACAATGAGGAAAAAGTAAAAAAAAAAAAAGTTATTTCTTCTAAGTCTCACTAGGAGACAAATGGGATAGAAGCTGGCATAAAAGAGTCTTTGATTCTAAATCCTGTAGATGAGTTTTCCGATTCTTTAGAGATTCCACTTTAGTTAGTGAAATGTCTAGGGAGATGGTGATATAGGAAACTGATAGTATGTTATTTCATTTCTTGCCCTTAGTTTTTTGGGTGTAAAGCTGTTTTCCATCCGGAGTTCGCTACGTTGTGTCCTATTCTTTTGTGACCACCCCTACTCCCACGGACTGTAGGTAGTAGTGCGCCAGGCTCCTCTGTCCATGGGATTTCCCAGTAAAGGATTCTGGAGTGGGTTGCCATTTTCTTCTCCAGAGGATCTTCCCCACCCAGGGATCGAATTCGGGTCTCCTGCATTGGCAGGTGGATTCTTTACCTCTGAGCCACCATGGAAGCCCCTTCCACCCTGAGAGCAGCTCTCAAAGAATCTGTGTCTTTTGTGAAACAGGAACCATGCTCAGGAAGCTTCGCCTATTTCTCTCATTTTCCGTCCGGAAAAAGAAATAGATTAAATATCTATTTAAGGTTTAATAGGATTACAGCAGAGATTGGCACAACATTTTTAATCAACTTTACTTCAACTGGAAGGGAAAAAAAAAGATTTAATGGGATTAAAGGGTGCAGAATCGGGCTGACCTCAGAGGCCAAAAGGCCGTGACTCCGCGAGAAAGAGAAGAATCTGTTTTAGGACAATTTCAGGCAACAAGTACTTTGCTTTGCCAGCTGTAGAGTGCTGGCCCAGGGGTTGGCAGTGGCTGACGGAACCGAAAAACCCCCTACTCCTGCCAGAAGGTTGCCATGGTTTCTACGTAGCGTCTCTTCCTTTTCAGCTTCGTTGTCCCCGTGCGATGACGCACTTCCGCTTCTTGTTGGGGCGGGCTTCCAGTTGGCTGGGTGCTAAGGGGTGAGGGGCTCCTACTGGGAGGTGGAAATAGGGCGGGTGTGGCGGGAGGGAGAGATTCCGCGCGGTTGCCCCCTTTCCTAAGCACAGAGAGACTGTGCCCAATTTCCGCCCCAGACCATCCTGGGAACTTTTTCGGTAATTAGGAGGGGGAGGGGGCGCCCGCGGCGCGTCGCGATTCTTCCGTGCCAGGCCAAATAAACCTCCGTGGGTATACCCTGCTACTGTCTCGTTTCTTCCCTATGGCAGGGTTTGTATTGGCAAAGAGAGCAGGGGAATCTTGATAACGAGTCACGTGTACCTTCCAGGATACGAGGTCTTGCACGTGTCCCAGTCTCCTTTTCTGAGCCCGTTGCATTTCCAGACCCTAAATAAGCAACGCGGTTCTGTATTCTGTTTCTCTTTCTCAGCTGGTCTCTATACTTTACTTCCCCTTTCTCCATCGTACTTTAGGTCCTGCAGATTGAAGACTTAAATCCAAGGTCATGGCAAAACATCTGAAGTTCATTGCCAGGACTGTGATGGTACAAGAAGGGAACGTGGAAGGTGCATACAGGACTCTGAACAGGTAACTGGTTGGGGACCAGAATCACGACTAGGCTAACTCTCTTGAGAAGTGTGGTGGTTATTCTATCCCTCCCTCGGTCATTTGCTGTTGACCAGTCGCTCAGTCGTGCCTGACTTTGCGACCCCATGAACTGCAGCGTGCCAGGCTTCCCTGTCCTTCACTGTCTCCTGGAATTTGCTCAAACTCATGTCCATTGATTCGGTGATGCCATTCAACCATTTCATTCTCTGTCACCCCCTTTTCTTCCTACCCTCAGTCTTCCCAACATCAGTGGGAAGACTGATGAGTGAGTCTTCCCAGTGAGTTGGCTCTTCACCTCAGGTGGCCAAAGTATTGGAGCTTCAGCTTCAGCATTGGTCCTTCCAATGAATATTCAGGGTTGATTTCCTTTAGGATTGACTGGTTTGGTCTCCTTGCTGTCCAAGGGACACTCAAGAGTCTTCTCCAGTAGAATTCAAAAGCATCAATTCTTCAGTGCTCAATCTTCTTTATGTCCCAACTCTCACATCCTTACATGACTACTGGAAAAACCATAGCTTTGACTATATGGACCTTCGATGGCAGAGTGAGGTTGTTTCTAACCAGTGCCAGCCCAGGTGTTCACAGTCTTGGAACTTCTCAGTCCCTCAGTTTACTGTCTTTAAAAATGAAGTTCTTCCTCAGTCCAAACAGTGTGAGGCGTATTTATCCACAATCATTCCTTTGATGATGAACTTGAATTCTATCCAAGACTTTAGGAAAGAGCCCAAAGGGAAAACCGAGTTACAAAATTGCTAGTGAGCAGGAATATAGTACATGATACATGGAAAGCTGAGCGAGAGATTGGTGTGGGACAAGTCTAATGGAAAAGGTGAACTCAGATTTGGGATCTTAAAGGAGCAAGCAAGTGATGGAAAAGTGAAACAGGTTCAGAAAATAGGTTACAACATAAGCAAAAACATGGAAATAAACTGAAGTGGAGGAGCTGTATTGAAAGGTTTTGAATGCTAGGCTGATCCCTAATAAAGTTATGTTTTCTAAAGAAAATAGTTCATTAATTTTCTCTTATCACCAGTTTTAAGGATTTTGACTTTCATTTATCATTTTCTCTCCCCAGTGAAGCAGAGTTTGGAGAAACAAATGCTTGTTGAATTGAATTATATGAAAGAGATAATACATGAGCTGATCTTCTGCCTTTAGGCTACTAAGGTGGTTGCTTTATTAAAGAAGTAAGAGAAGCCTGGGAAGATTAAGTTATATTCCTTGGGTTACAATTATTGAATGGTTGAAAGGAGTATAAAACACACACGTTTTTTCTAGTGCAGTATTCTTTGCTCTACGTTAGATAACTTACTAGCTTCTGTGGAAATGGGGAGACCTATGGCAGTCATTCTCCAGTTAAGAATCCTTATATTAAAAAAAAAAAAAAGAATCCTTATATGATTAGGTTTAAATGTCGGTGGGGTTCTTGGGGACTGAGAAGATAAATGAAAGAGAACCTACTTCTTAGCGAAGCAGAGAGTTCTAAGTGTGGAGGATTGGGGGGCAGAAGACCATAGTAGGTGAAGACAAAGATGCTGTTAGAAGCTGTGTGATTGAGAAGCAGTTGCAGGCTCAAGATGATTTGTATATCTTTTAAAAGAGTCAGCCTCTTTACCTTTATGGTGTCTGTATGTGCCAGTCATATCCTTGCGAAGAAGCTATTCCCGCTGTACTTTTCACTTAAGATAAAAGGATAACAGGGCAAGTAAGATAACCCTATTTCATGTTTCTCTGTAACTGCTCATTCTAGACTCTTCTATTTCAGACCTTTAAGTGGCATGTCTGTGGGAGGGTTGAGATGTCTAATGATCTCTGCCCTTAACACTGGAAGCACTAAGTGAATATCTTTACAGATTCTGTAGCTAATTAGCTAGTGAGATGAAATGATGCATTTGGGGAAGGAAAGTCTTCCAGATTACCTCACCCTTTTTCTAACCTCTCCCTGTAAGTTTTTTTCTGTATGGTTTATTTTGGTGAATTTAGATAGGCTTTGTTGTTGTTCAGTCAGTAAACCGTGTCTCTTTGCAACTCCATGGACTGTAACACACCAGGCTTCCCTGTCCTTCACTATATCCTGGAGTTTGCTCAAATTCTTATCCGTTGAGTCAGTGATGCTATCTAACCCTCTTATCCTCTGCTGCCCTCTTCTTCTTTTGTCTTCAAGTCTTTCCTAGTATCAGGGTCTTTTCCAGTGGGTCAGTTCTTCACATCAAGTAACCAAGGTATTGGAGCTTCAGCATCAATCCTTCCAGTGAATAGTTAGGGTTGATTTCCTTTAGAATTGACTGGTTTGATCTACTTGTTTTCCAAAGGACTCTCAAGAGTCTTCTCCAGCACCACAGTTCAAAAACATCAATTCTTCAGCACTCTGTCTTCTTTATCCAATTCTCACATTTGTACATGACCATGGAAAAACCATAGCTTTGACTAGTTGGACTTTTGTTGGCAAAGTGATGTCTTTGCTTTTTAATACCTGTCAAAGTTTGTCATAGCTTTCCTTCCAAGGGGTAGGCATCTTAATTTCATGGCTGCAGTCACCATCCACAATGATTTTGGAGCCCAGGAAAATAAAATCTGTCACTGCTTCCATATTTTTCCTCTTCTGTTTGCCATGAAGTGATGGGACCAGATGCCATGATCTTAGATTTTTGAATGTTGAGTTTTAAGCCAACTTTTTCAGTCCCCTCTTTCACCTTCATCAAGAGGCTCTTTAGTTCTTCTTCACTTTCTCCCATTAGAGTCGTGTCATCTGCATATCTGAGGTTGTTGATATTTCTCCTGGCAGTCTTGATTCCAGCTTGTGTTTCATCTATCCTGGCATTTGGTGTGATGTACTCTGCATATAAGTTAAATAAACAGGGTGACAGTATACAGCCTTGTTGTACTCCTTTCCCAATTTTGACCTAGCCAGTTGTTCCATGTAAGGCTCTGACTGTTGCTTCTTGACCCCGAGTACAGGTTTCTCACAAGACAGGTAAGGTGGTCTGGTATTCCCATCTCTTTCAGAATTTTCCACAGTTCATTATGATCCACACAGTCAAAGGGTTTAGCATACATAGTCAGTGAAGCAGAAGTAGATGCTTTTCTGGAATTCCTTTAGTTTCTCTATGATCTAGCAAATGTTGGCAGTTTGATCTCTGGTTCCTTTGCCTCTTCAAAACTCAGCTTGTATATCTGGAAGTTCTTGATTCATGTACTGCTGAAGCCTAGCTTGAAGGATTTTGAGCATTACCTTGCTAGCATGTGAAATTGTACAGTAGTTTGAACATTCTTTGGCATTGCCTTTCTTTGGGACTGGAATGAAAACTGACCTTTTCCAGTCCCATGACCACTACTGCCTTTTCCAAATTTGCTGACATTTGAGTGCAGCACTTTAACAGTATCACCTTGTAGGATTTTAAATAGCTCAGCTGGAATTCCATCACCTCCACCAGCTTTGTTTGTAGTAATGCTTCCTAACGCCCTCCTGGAGGAGGAAATGGCAACCCACTCCAGTATTCTTGTCCTTCAGCTGCCTTTTCTGTATGTCTCGCTTAAATTCTGGCTTCTCCTTACTTCTCTCATATTTTTGATAATAAGTTGCATGTTCTGCAGTTTAATTACAGCAGTAGGTATGACAGCAAATGAGAAGAACGGAAGGTGGTTAAAGCTTTAGCATGTTTAGAGCACAAATATAGTCTTACAAAGGAAACAGCCTATGTATCTACCCAGTGAGATCGCCACAGAACGCTTGGTTATATAACCAAGAGCCCTCATTGGTGCCCTAAGATGAAGAGATGGAGAGGTAGGTTGCTAGGAAGCCCTGCATGATTGGCTGGCCCCCAAGTAAGGAAAGTCAAGTACTCTGGAAGTGTGCCCAGTTGACCCCTTTTATTCCTGGTAGGAGAGCTTCTGGGCCCATTGAGTCATCCTGTGTACACGCTAGTCCTGACAGGCTGGCTACAGTGACGTGTGTCTACCACCCTCAAATTCTCCCAGCTCGGGCAGCTTAGCTCCTTTTACATAATCTGTTGAATTTCACTGAAACTGGCAGCTGACTGTCCTGCAGTGTTACGTTGCCAGGCAGCCAAACTCCAGGCTAATCTGTTTACTGTGAGTCTCTTGGTCTGCTAGTCCTTCAACTACCTGTGGACAGAAGCATCATTACTTCTGTTTACTTCATGAGTTCTACACAGCTCTTCCTATATCCTTGTTTACTAGAAATGAGTAGATGCCTCTATTGTAGGGATTCTGGAACTTTTGAGGATAATCTGTGCTATTTTCAGGATAACTAGAAAGTGCAAGGTGAGGAAGGAAATCCTCACCTGGCACCTTGGAACTTATTTGGTATGTGTTTTGGAAATAGAACCATCCAAGGAATACCATTTAGCAACCCCATCGTTATGTTAGGGGGCACCGATCTTTTCATTTTTTTCCCCCTTCCTCTACTGTTACATTCCTTTGATACTTTTTTCTTGTTTTTCTTTTCTGCCTGACCACACAGGCATTTACTTGATAAGATGATCACTTTTGTCTGTTTCAGAACCCTTTCGAAACTCCAGTAGGCTACCTGAGTATGTTTCTAAACTCTTCCTTTTGCATTTCTCCTTCATAATACTTTTAAACTGTCCTTGTCATTCCAGTAGGCTCCTCTTCCTAGGTGAAATCACATCTAGGGTCTCTGCTCTTTTCATGTGAAAGTGTAGTGTTACTCGGTTAGTCATGTCTCTTTGCAACCCCATGGACTACAGCCCACCAGGCTCCTCTGTCCATGAAATTTCCCAGGCAAGAATACTGGAGTGGATTGCTATTTCCTTCTCCAGAGTATCTTCCCACACCAGGGACTGAACCCACATCTCCTGCATTGATGAGTGGCTTCGTTACCACTGAGCCTCAGAGAAGCCCAAACAAAGCCTGCTGCTGCTGCTAAGTTGCTTCAGTTGTGTCCGACTCTGTGCGATCCCTTAGACGGCAGCCCACCAGGCTACCCCGTCCCTGGG